AGATTTGTGTGGAAACCAGATCAAAGGGGAAAAAAAGTGATAGCTTTCATTTGAGATTTTAGCTTGTTTTTATTTTATGTTGATTTGATCTTTCTATATGAAAAAGCTATAAAAGTAGACATAAAGAATCCTATCTACCTAACTCCAAACCCAAAACCAAGTGGCTTTTTTACTTTCAAATTTGTGTATTTCATATTTCAAGATTTTATTTGAATTGAGTCTAGCAATCAAAATTGATTCAATTGATAGATATGCAACTCTTATTTTATATAGAATTTATAAATAAAAATAACAAGTTTTACGTTTATTAAAAAAGATAATTAAATGTATCTATTTTTTTTTATTTCATGTAAAAGAAATAAAACAATTATGCGTGTACTTTTAATTAAATTGTCTATCTATAACAACATTAAATAATTAATGTGATTAGAATTTTAGAATAAAAGCATTAAATGTGTCTAAATTTGTGGACATTTGTTTATTTTAAGGTCAAAATATTTAGAAGACTTTTGCTTATAAATAAGACTCAAGGAAGTACGTTTTTAGTTTTTTATGAACACCCTCTTTATTTTGAAATATCGGAATATAAATTTAATGTGTTAGGTTTTTCACATTTAGACGATTAACTAATGTTGAGAAATCAATGTCAAGAACGAAGTAAAATTGTGAGAAAGAGAGATTTCTTGATCAAATAAGAAACCGTTCAATTCAAGAAGAGAGAGAAGAAAAAGAAAAATAGAATTGACTATGACGATTATTCACTTTTTCAATGAGCGTTAAATGATTACAAGTAAAAATCAACAACCAATCTCTCTCCTAACAAGTGAGAGAACCTATTTATAAACTACTGACATATGTATGATGATAACATGATTACATGACATACATGTTTACAACATCATTAAACTGCATGTTGTATGGGCAGACTTTGACTACAACATGCATGAGTTGACTTCGACTACATCATGCTTGATTTGACTTTATCGAATATTAAAGCTACCCTTGTCGAGTTTTGGGTTCGATTCAATACTAGTTTATGACTCCAAAGCTACAAATCTCCACCTTAGAACAAACTTCAAAATATCATGGAAACAAACGAGCTATCACCATGCAATTTTATCAACTGCATACAATGTAATAATTTGTTGTTTGACAATGACTTGGTGATCATATTAGCAGTAATGTTGTGTCAGTCAAAACCTTCATCACTTTGACTTCTCTCCTTTCGACTTTCTCCATAATGAAATACAGTCTAACATCAATATGCTTGAGTCTCTCATGATAGGTTGAATTCTTTGACAAATATATTACACTTTGACTATCACATTTAACAATGATTGTTTGACCTTGAGGTTTGAGTTCCTTAGCGGACCCTTCAAGCCACAATGCTTATTTTACAACTTTAGTGAGGGCAATATATTCAACTTCAGTGGTTGAGAATGTTACGACCTTCTGAAGTGTTGCTTTCTAACTGATTGTTGTATTAAACATTGTTAAAACATATCCAGAAAGAGATTTCCTGGTATTCGTACATCCTTCATAGTCAGAGTCAACAAATAAATTGACTTCAACTTTGTTATCATCGCCTTTGGCTCCACCATAAACCAGGACCTTGCTCAGAGATCCTTTTATGTATCTTAGGATCCATTTCAAGGTTTGAAAATGCGCCTTTCCAGAGTTGGCCATATACTTGCTTACATGACTCACTGCATACATTATGTATGGCCCGGTACAAACCATAATATACATAAAAGACTTTACTAGGTTAGCATATGATATGTTATTCATATAGGCTCTTTTGACTTCAATACTAGGAGACTTTAAGTTATACTCAACTTGAATTACTAAGTTGTTGGCATTATAACAAGTTTTGAGTTCGACATACTAAAGTTGTTGAGAATCTTGCTCATATATGGAACTTGAGTTAAGCATAATTTTGATTGCTTTATATCTCTCTTGATGTTGATATCTAAAATCCTGATTACAACCCTAAGGTCCTTCATTATGAATTTCTGGTTAAGTTTAGTCTTCTCCTTCATTACTTATTCGACGTTGTTGCTTGTTATGAGAATGACATCCACATAGAGCAATAAGATGACAAGTGAGTTTTCAGATGAGAACCTGAAATAAACATAATGATTAAAAGTTCTCCTTGTGAAATTTATGTGTGCCATGAACTTGTCGAATCTTTTGTTTCATTTCCTATGAGATTGTTTCATGCCATATAGTGACATATTCAGTTTGCACACATATAGAAAATAAGTCTTAACATCCATTTGCTCCAGATCTAGGTCGAACCTAGCCACTATAACAAGGAGAATTCTAATGGATTTATGTTTCACAACAAGAGAGAATTAATCATTGAAACCCACTCTTTCTCTTTGAGTGAATCCCCTTGCAACTAGTATTGCCTTGAATCTCTTAGACATAATGCATTCGAATTTTTCATTTACTTTGAAAATCCATTTACAACTGACTAATTTGGCCCCTACGGGTTTCTTGATCAACTTCCATGTGTTATTGTCATGAAGAGATTTTATCTCATCATCCATGACTTTCAGTCATTCCTTCTTATATTGACTCCTCACAACTTCCATATAATCTCTAGGTTCTTCATCAATTACCTCACTAGCAGAGATTAAATAAAAAGCTATCCAAGTCTCTTAGGTGGTCTGATGACTCTTCTCGACTTGTCTCTAGATAACACGTAGTCGTCATCAGTTTCCTCAGTTTCTTCAACATCATGTGCTTCGACTACAACTTCATCTTGGTTTTCGACTTCAGCATCTCTATGATCCACATCAACAGGAAACTCTTCTTGTTCTTTCTCCACTTCAGATATCTTTTCATTTCGAACAACATCATCTATTTTTTTGAAAGTCATCTCAGATTCAATGAAAACCATATCACGACTTGTGATACACCTTCTATAACATGGTTTTAGGAACCATAGCCTATAAGCTTTGACTTCCTCTGGATGCCCAAGAAACATGTATCTCAGAGTTCTAAATTTGACTTTGTCTTGCCTAATGTAAGCATAGGCTACACAACTAGATACTATAAGTCTGTCGAGATTTGGTGGATTTCTTGACCATACTTCTTCTGGTGTCTTCATACCCAAAGCATTCGAAGGGCACTTATTTATCAGATATGCTACAGTTGCAACAACCTCAACCTAAAACATCTTCTTCAATCTAGCACTAACCAACATGCATCCAACCCTTTCTAGAATTATAGGATTTAACCTCTCAACCAAGCCATTTTGCTGAGGAGTACCTCCTGCAGTCTCGTGCCTTACAATACCAAACATAACATAATAAATTTCGAAAGCTTCATTGTAGAACTCAAGGCCATTGTCGGTCCTCAATCTCTTGATTTTCCACCAAAGTCTTCTAACTTTTGAAATTTTCAAAAATGTCATCCTTAGTTTTCTGAGTGAATACCCATAACTTTTGTGAATAATAATCAACTATGGATAGGATATATCTTGCACCTTAGTGTGAAAGACTTCTTGTAAGCCCTCAAAGGTAAGCATGAATATAATCAAGGGAGCCATGTGTTCGTTTCTTACCTTTATTGAACTTTACTCTGCAAGCTTCTTCAAATACACAAGGTTCACATAACTCCAGCTTTTCGACCTTGTCACCATCAAGCAAATTTTGTTTCCCCAGTTCAACCAGGCTCATTTCACTAACATGGCTAAGTCTTATGTGCCTTAGCTCTATTTTTGACATAGACTTTGTGGATGTAATGTTGAACCACTTACAACCTCAACCTCAAGGGTATACAAGTTTTGCCTCTTGATGCTTCTTAAGACTTCCTTCGACCCCTTTATAACTCTCTAGATACATTGCTTTCCTTTGAAAACATATCCTTTATTGTTGAATTCACCAAGAGAAATAAAATTTATCTTAAGATCGGGTACATACCTGAAGTTAGTCAATAACTTCATTGACTCGTCATGGAGCTTGAATCTCATGATCAAATTCCTGCAATTTTACAGGCTTTGTTGTTTCTCAACAGAACTGATCCACCTCCTTGATCACATAATTCCTCAAATACGTTTTTGTTTGGATTCATGTGTCAAGTGCAACTTGAATCCATAATTCATTCCTTTCTAGAACTGTTGCTCAAAACTACCAGAACATCAGATGATTTGTAATCATCTTAAACAATGGCTGCATTGCATTATCCTTGCTATCGCCATAACTCTTCTACCTATCAGGACACACTTTTCTTGTATGACCTTCCTTCTTACAGTTGTAACACCTAATAGCAAGAGCATTACCACTGTAAGATTTGTGTTGATCTTTACCTTTCTTCTTCTCAAACTTACCATCCTTCTTCAAGAATTTTCCTTTTATAGACAATCTTTCACCAACAGATGGTGGTTTGTACTCCTTCCTTTCGTTTAAGTCCTTAGAGTACAAGACCAATTGGACTTCTTTAAAGGTAAATGACTTTTTTTCCATACAAGAGATTTTCTTTGAAATGAGCATGAGATCTTGGTAAACACACAACAACAACACTTGATCTTCATCATCAATACTAAAATTAATATTCTCCCGATCAAGAACAAACTTATTAAACATATCTAACTGCTCAGTCAAGATGTTGTATTCACCCATCTTGAATGAATACAACGTTTACTTCAGGTAGAGATGATTGACCAACGACATGGTCATGTACGACCCTTTGAGTTTGTTCTACTCACCTACTGTGATTTTCTCCTTCGAGACTTGCCGGAGAACCTTATCACCAAGGTTCAATATGATGGCAATGTGGGATTTCTCGATCATCATCGACTTCTCCTTCTCCGTTGAGACAACATGCATTTTCTTCGATCATTTCATCGCTTCTAATAAACCCTATTGAACAAGAAGATCTTGCATCTTTAAGTGTCATAATCTAAAATCGTTTACTCCAATGAATTTCTCAATCTCATATTTCGTTGATGGCATCTTGATATGCGCTCACCGTACCCGTTTGTGGAGAAATCAATGTCCAAAACGAAGTAAAACTGTGAAAAAGAGAGATTATCTTGATCAAACAAGAAATCTTTCAATTCAAGAAGAAAGAAAAGAAAGAGAAAAAGATTTGATTATGAGGGTTATTCATTTTCTCATTGAGTGTTAAATGATTACAAGTAAAAAATAACAACCAACCTCTCTCCTAACAAGTGAGAGAGTGACATATTTATAGACTACTAGCATATATATGATGAATACATATCTACAAGATCATCAAACTACATGCTGGATGAACAAAATTCGACTACAACATGCATGAACTCACTTCGACTACAACATACTCCCTCTGTAATAATTTATAAGCAAATTTGACTTTTTTGGTACATTTGACTATTAATGTATATAGTATATATATCACTACAAGAAAATTAGTGTTTAACGACACAAAAATTGCGACAGTTATGTGATAACTGTCGTAATTGACATATAGAGACAATGTTTACGACAGTTGACACCAACCGTCCCTAATATTTATTTTGCGATGGTATAATTAACCATCATAATATTATTATTACGACGGTAAAACAACCGTCGGCCCCCATTTAACACTTTTAACATTGATTTTTCACCAACAACTAGTCACGACGGTAAAATTAACCGTCCTAAAAGGCATATCACGGCGGTAAAGCACCCGTCGCACCCTTAAACCTTTCACGACGGTAAAATTATACGTCCTAAAATTCATTTCACGACGGTAAAACAACCGTCGCACCCAAAACCTTTAAAAATTCTCATGGGCACGACGGTAAAACACCCGTCGCCGTAAAAAAGTTAAAAAGCTCTTAAAATACATAAAACATCAATTCACTTTCTACTCCTGCGTTCACTTTTTCTACTCACAAAGAAAATACAAGAATTCTCGACCTAAGGTTCGTGTGGGTCTTCCAAAGAAGAACCCTAAAGTTTTGAAACCCGCTTTCACCATTCCTCCCAAACTGTTACAATCCCTTGTAGAAGACCCTAAATGGGATAAAAAGGCAGCGTCACACAAAACTACAATTCCTTCGGCGTCGTCAATGACCCTAACTCCCTCACTGATTCTCTTCGAGCTCCTCCTTCTGTCTCCGATGACCCCAACGATTCTGGCAGTGACCTCGAAGAAGACGGTATTTTCGTGTATTTTAGTATCAGAAATTGTTTATATTTTTTTGAAATACATGTAAATTTTATGAATTTTGTGGTGTAGATTTGAAATCGGCACTGGGAAAGAGAAGAAGAGATGGTAAAAGTGCACTTCCTCAACCTTTGACTTCGATTCAGCGTCTTTATATTAGTCGGCTAGTTGAGAAATATGGAGCTGATTTTCAGGTTTGATCTGTTGTCATGTTAATTTCAATTGAAGATATATTAACATTGTAAAGTGAAAATGTTGCTGTTAGGAGGCTGTTTAATGTTTTGTTGTTATTATGGCAGAGAATGATGATGGATATAAAGCTAAATCCTATGCAGCATTCTGTTGCAACTTTAGAGAAATTGTGTATGAGCTATTACATTTACAAGAACAAGAATCCTCTTATTGTTGGAAGATGAAGTACTTTGCATATGAACAAGTGTAGTGCTGTCGAAGATTACAAACTTCCGGTTGTGAGTTGTGATGGTTGATCCATGAATGGGCAAAATGTTGTTACAATGAAGATTTTGGTTGTTTTGACACTTTGGATGTTGTTCGGGTAATATTGTTATAAAATTTTGTTGATGCTTTTTAATTTTGTATGGATTTTTGTTCGGGAAGATTAAGCATTATGGTCTTCTTGCCTGTTGCCAAAACAACGCTTTAGTATATGAAAGTAATTTTGGATGGAATGGGTTTAAAACTGTGTAGGTAGTTTGTTTTTGGGCTATGTATCACTTTTGTTGGGGAACATGAATCAATTCTGGTTAAAGTAGCCAGCTTTTGCCAAAAACAGTTAAATAAGATGGCAGTAATTTTGAATGGAATGTGTTTGGAACTGTTAAGGTAATTTATGATCATATACATGTTTGGCTAAACGCATTTTGATGTCCTTTAACTTAGATGCTTTTCATGTTTGGCTAAATACATTTTTCTGTCCTTTAACTTAGATGCTTGTTATAAGTTAATTTCTAAGTTTGTTTTGGTAACAAATCAGTCTTATGTGCACATCGTTAGCCTTTTAACCACAATATATGTCTCTTAAAGATTTGATGTGGCACGTATGTTCCGTTTTTAACGTATTCTTCGTGGATAATTTTATATTATGAAGTTAGTGTTCACTTATGGAATGAAAGAGTAATGAGAAATTTGATCATTTATGAAAGAGAAATGAGAAATTTGAGAAAAATTGAAAATTAGAGAAATTTTTCTGTGTATGCCGGTAAGCAAAAGGCTTTTGGAGAGGAGATTGTATGGAAAAATAGATTTAAAAAAATATATTTTTTAGTGTTTTTAATTTAAATGTGTTTATTATTATTATATTTTAATTTTCAAAATATCTGTAAAGTTGATCATGAACAAAATTAGAGACTTCTCAATTTCTACGGGCATGAAGATTAGCATCTCTAAAAGTTTCTTAAAGTAAAATTTATTTTGGGGATGTAGATGTCATTAGTAAGTAATTTAAGGTTAAAGTATCTATAAATAATTTAAATTTTTTACATAGTTGAGTTATGAAATTAATTTGTTTACTTTTTCTGCTATGTTGCAGGATCAAAGGCAATGTTTGCAGGGTTAGGCCATTTTTCTAAGAAATCAATCAAGGTATTGTAATGCATATAACTTGATATGCAATTCTTGTATATTTGATTGTAATTGAAAATTATTAGTAACAAACAACTTGTGCATCATGCTTGGGTCTGTTGTTTGTAGATTACATTTATTTGCTTGATATATCTGCTTCTTGTGATATGTTATGCGGGCCAGGCTACATTTATCTCAAAATTTGGAGACTGGTAATTTTAATCATCTTAGTCGATCTGTGCCAAGTAAGTTCATCAAGACCAATATACTTTGAGTACTCCTATGGTATACACAAGATATACCATGTATTATATTCATTTAACAGGCTAATAGTAAAAACTTCCTCTTATAATTATTGCATTTGCCCATGCGGTTTCATTCAATCGTGGAGTGTTTGTGAAGATTACTATTGAATGCTTCCAACTTTGAGATTATTGCTGAAATTATTGTGGTTTGTGGGGTTGGAAAGCATAGAAGTGAAAAAGGGGAATCATCAATTAAAGCATTGGGTCAGAAGATGTTGATGGAGATGAAAAGTCCACTCAGGATTGATAAAAGGAAGATGGATGCTTTGTTGGTAAAGGTAAAGCTGTTAAAATCTGGTTATGTGAATTGAGGAAGCCATGATTTTGCTTCTATATATGATGATAGTGATAAACTTGATTGTATATGTTTGTGTTGCCAATAAATATCTATATTCCTCAAGCCCAATTCATATATCATCTGTTCATGAAGGTTTTTGCAATCATTTTCTAATTATGTATGTCAACAGCTTACCCTACTTTAGTTCCTTGCTATAGATAAGAGTTGTATATTTGCTTGATTTTTTTATTTTACTATCAACATAGTAATTTCTATGCCATTTCTGAGTACCAATAAATCCAATGTCATATGTGAACTCATTACACTTCCAATTTTTAATAATAGGCGACAATCAAATAATCAGTTGTCAAGAACATGATGAAAGCCCTATACTTTCAGTTCACCGTCAGAGTTCTACCATTATATTTGGTTACATTCACAGGTACTGCCAGTTCATCAGTCATCGTATACATTTGTTCTGAGCTTCATCAACATGATTTCGATGTTACAAACCTGTTACAAACATGTTATGTTACAAACCAATTCCTTTGTATTTACTTTTACACATAATACGTAGATCTATAACTGGTTTGCTCTATGTTTGAAGTCATTTTGTTTGTAGATGTTGTTTGAAGTAATTTTGTTTGCAAAAAAGCTAACTTTTCTATGTTCGAAGTCATTCATGTCTTGTATCCTAAAATATTTTTGTTTTATTCATAAGGTATATTGTTTGTTTTAGCGGAAGTTGTCAAACAACATCTATGTCGATCGTTTCCAGATCGACATCTTCTTCTGCAGAAAGTGAACAAATACAGGAAATGCAAGAAGAAATTAATGCACTTAAAGAAAAGAATTCAAAAATTGATGAATTAACACAGGCAATCATATTCTTAACGCAAAGGGACAAGGCGAGGACAAAGGAAATTGAACTCTTAATGCAAATGCAGAATTTTAGTGGAAGACAGGTATATTATTTTGACGCATTTAAAGTTAAATTTTATGAGTATTATTTTAAAGATTATTATTTTAATACCTTTTTTTAGGGATTGGAATCACCCGTTGATGGTAGACGTTCATCTGGTCTAGCTACCGTATTGGAGATAATGGAACTTCAGGGGGGACAAATTAGACTTTGCTATGATCGAGATAATTAGATTGTGAACTTTCTCATGTATTTTTGGCATAATGATACTTATTATTATAAGATTAGGAATTGATATATTTTGGGTTTTTTGTACTACTTGACATGATTATGGAACTCGCATTTTACATGATTATGAAACACACACTTTTTTGGATATTATAATGCTTATTTGATGTTAAATATTTTTTATTGAAATTATTTTTACTATATTACAAAGTGATAGAAAATAAAACAAAAAATAATACTATAAATAAATATATTAAAGAAAAAAATAACACAAAAAAAAACTAAATTTAAATTTTTTTTACATAGATAATAATTTAAATAAAAAATATATATAATAGAAAAATAGAAAAAAATCAAGACATAAACAAAAGTCATGGCGACAGTACCGAACCGTCGTAATCAACAATTAAAAATAATCAACAAAAGTCATGACGGTATCGAACCGTCGCAATAAACAATTTAATCAATTTCAAAAGATATTCACGACAGTATCGAATCGTCGCCATCAATAATTAGAAGAAACTCAAAAGATAGTCACGACGGTATCAAACAGTCACCAATACTTGATTATGTTAGCTCCAAACCCGTCGTAAACTTGAACGACAGTTTTTGTAACCGTCGCGAAATAGGTTGGTGACACACACTTCTGCGACGGTAAAGCAACCGTCGTGGAAAGCAAATTGCGACGGTTTTAACCGTCGTAATCTACAAAAATACCTGTCGCAATCTGCCAATTTTCTTGTAGTGTATGGACTAAATACATTAATTGTCAAATATACAAAAAAAAAATCAAATTTATTTATAAATTATTACGGAAGAAGTATTTGATTTGATTCGATTCTATCGAATCATGAAGCTACCCTTGTCAAGTTTTGGGTTTGATCCAATACTACTTATGACTCCAAAACTACAATTACATTTGTGCCTATTGGAATCAATTAGATAGTCTAAAATTCAAAAATAAAATAAAATAAATTTTAAAATTAAAAACTTGATTTTGTAATTTATATATTTGATTTCAATGTAAGATCATTATTCATCTACATGAAATTAAAATTCATAATTTTGTTGGATATTATTTTAAATTGGTCAAAATAATCCTATATATTGTTTGACAATCGTGATTAAAGTTAGTTTATATACAACATACTCCTCAATTTGACGGAGCGTCTTTTCTAAACAACGAAATCATAAGGAGTCTCTGATACCTAAAATAGATGATTTTTATAGTCGCGGTAACGTAGACTTGAAATTGACCAAAATAGATATAGTTCTAAGTTATGACATCTAACTAGTTTTTATTAAAAAAAATAATTTAGGTGAGTTGAGTTATGAATTCATCATAATCAGACAGATATTAAGAGTCAGAGAATATTCAAAAAAATATTTAAGTATTACTCAAAAAAATCATTAGGGAGTTTAACTTACAATATTTTCAGATGAGCCTAACTAGTTGCCCCAAGTAAGTTGGCATTTTTTTGGCAAACATCCAACTAATTGAGCCACAACTTCTTATAAAATAATAATTTTGTAAGTTAATTTAAATTTTAGATTGATTTTATGATAAAGAAAAGTCTCCTTAATTTGTATTGAATTGAAAAATAAAGGAGTACACTACTGTTAAGCACTAGCTATAGGGAGGAAACAAATTTGAATAGAAACATAATAGCCAGTTAACATTGTCTCAGATAAGACACATCTAAATTTAGTGCGCGGTCCAAATAGCTATTTGGCACATAGCTAGGTTCTAATTAAAGACTATAAATCCAAATAGACCATAGGAAAAAGACTTGTTGACAAGCAGTATTTAGTTTGCTTGATGGGATGACACTGACTTTAACCAATTAAGCACTGGTTCATATATTCATATATTCCTGTCATGCATCACCAAGATTAGTTCGAACCTTTCTACATAAAAATCTTAGCCCTTTAATTTGATGCATGAACCTTTATAGAATAAAGATTCACATTGATTTCACCCCAAAAATATTCATTTACAATATGGATGCACCATAGTAGTAATTGGTTGGGGAAAGAAATATATCAAAAACAAAATTACATAGAAAAACAATCTACTATCAATCTATCTAGCTAATAGTAATAACTAATATAATCTATAATTTAGTATTATTATTATTATTGAAGTTGGTTTCTGGAAAATATTTTCTGACCAGGTGCAAGAATAGCCAAAGGATCAAAATTATGTTTTCTCTGAACAAATCTATTCCATTTATCGCCAAAGTGACGCTTCCAATTCTCCTGTGTCAAGTAGTGAGGAAGATATAGCTTGAAATTGAAACCCTTATTGTAGCAAAGTTGAATAATTGCATTGTTTTGTGCCACCAATTTATCAGTAGGTGGTCCCTTTGGTGGTGGTGGAATAAATCGAAGCAATGCTATAATGTAGAAAATGTTGCTGTCTGGTACCACTACTGAGTGTCTATCATCCCACCTGATTAGTAATCATAAAAACAAAAACACTTTGTTATTAATTAAATAATTAATCTAACCAATTTCGAATACAAATGACAAGAATAGTAGTAGTAGTATTTGACTTCACAAATTTCTAGAACGAGATTAAAATATGAACTATGAAGCTAGCTATAGTTAGCTTTATCATTGATATCATTAAATGTATACGAGATTATGAGTCTTTTTTTAGTACACACCTAGAGAATTCCCTCAAATCTTGATCTTTTGAATCAGTTATTTATGGTGGTTTGGTTTGGTTTGGTTTGGCCTAACAAAACATATGCAATGTAATGTCCTAATAATAGTGAATTAATGCATGAAGTCGATTCATCAATGCATTAAGACGATTCATGGGTTAGGCGTGTTTTGAAACAGTTGCAGATAGGGCAATGGTGGGGGAGGGGACCCTTGAGGAAGAGGGAACCAAATTCTAATCCTTAGAAAAAGCAGAGCATCAATATATCCCTGTGTATGTGGAACCACAAGGGAGATTTTGTTTTTGTGTGTCAGAAATCAAATCCTATTATAAGAGAATACAAAACTTGGTGTCACTGTAATCCGGTTGGCGAATAAATATCATTGTCCATTCTTATTGGCAAAACTGATCATGAAAGATATGTTTTTTTTTTTGGAATGCCAAAATAGTTTCTCCTCAATTCTAAATCAATAATTAAATGTTTTAAGTTTATTAAACAGCTTTGAAAACTATGCAGATGATGGCTCCAGAATTTTCAAGTTGACGTTAAAGAATCAGAATTTAAGATAGATAAAGTTGAAAAAAAGCCAATATCTAATAGTAATTTTAATTTAAAATATTTAAAAAAGTAACAATTCAACTACTCATTCATTCCCAATTGATATTAAAAAAATATTATAATTAGTTTTATGTGCATTGTGCTATTATCTCTGTTTATATGGCTGTCCCACCAAAGAAGAATGTAGGTTCCCAGTTACCTTATTGGCCAACCACAGGCAAGGAGTGATAGTGAATAATAATAATAATAAGAATAGGACAAAAATTGCCTTATAAAAATACATATATTTTTTACAATAAAATAGAATAATTTGATAATAAAAAACTTACTTTTTAGGGTAAAATGACTTTACATGAACAAAGAAATAGTTGAAATTATACAATTAAAATACAAACAACTAATTTTTAAAAAAGTACTACTAACTAAGCCATTTAAGAAGAAACATTAAAAAGAATTTCCAAGTGAAAAAGAGAAAGTATATATAGGTTAAGTATAAAGTACAAACAAGGTGAGATAAAGATGGTACAAACCGCAGTGTGATGAAACAGCTGAGGTTACTATACAACCAATAGATGGTGAAGTATATGCCAATGGGGTCCCTTTCTAGTTCAAAACAAGTGCAATATCACTAGAGACCCACCCTTAACCACCCTGTTTAAAATCGGTGGTCCATCCCGGTGAAAGAGCCCAATGGCTAAGGTGATTCATATACAATATTATCTCCATTTTTTATTATAAGTCATTTTAATATTTGATTCAATTCGAGTTTGAAAACATTAATAGAACCTTAATTATTAAAAATTACTATTAGGTAAAGCTAAGTAATTAAACTTTTTCCATCTATAAAGAGATACTAATAAAAATACTTGCAAATATAAGTGTGTAATTGTGTACTTACTTGCTTCGCAATAGTGGATAAACTAGAATGGGACCACCAACCCCACTATTAAGGATTTTCTTGAACACTTCACGATCAAAATCAGCAATGTCGGATTTGGATACAAACATGTTCAACCATGGATGAGGTGCATCCCATATACCTTTAGCTTTCGCATCCTCTTCCACACGCTTCACACGTAACAAAAAATCCACATATTTCACATCATCCTCAAACTTTACACCCTCAACAAATCTCAGCCCTCCAAGCAATCTATCCACTTTCTACAAAACCAAGGGCATTTACGTCATTCAAAAAAATCCACAACAGCATAAAATATTTTAAATATTAACACTACAGATTCCAGAAAATGATGGTTTTTTTGGCCATTTTCGGAACCGTGGGGACCGTAAATAAACGTCAGCGAGATCTCAACGATCAGAACAAAAACAAATTAAGCACTCACTAATGTTACATGACCATTTTAACCTTAACCAAAAAAAGGCTCCAATTTTACTATTTTATGCTAATAACTAAGGTATCAAAAAAATAAAAGTACTGTCCCATTTGGTAATTTGAAACCAACAACACAGGCTTTTAAGTAGAGGTATTGTGTCAGAAAATCCAATGGAAGATACATTACGACCGTGTAGTCAGTTTTCCCCCAACCATAGCCATTTCCTCTTCAGATATAAAAATTCAAATCCCAAATAAATAATGAATAAAAATAAAATCTCAAACTCCAAAACTAACACTTATACCCAAATGATATGTGACGTTATGTATCAAGCTTATGGCAGAAGAGAATTAAATAAAACCCCTCCATTTCTTAACTTCGTACATGTGTAGGTGAAATCTGCATATATTTGACTTTTCACTCAGGTCCCACCTAATTTTGTTTCCTACCACTCATATTTTGTTTCGCCTGCGCAAAGATATCAAATTCGAAATGGCACAGATTCAAACCCGCAATATCTCTTATAAATAATAAATAAATAATAAACTAATTAATGTGATTATCTAATAGTTAATTACCGTGTCAACATCGGAAGAGCGAGAGGTTTTACGATAGTGAAGCGCGAGTTCTAAGCAATAGAGAACCGGTCCGGCTGAAGAAGGAATACGAACCGGATTGAAGGTTTGGTTCGAACCCATCGGAATTGTGGGCCATCCATTACACGGGTCATCATTTTTAACCACAACGAATCCTTCCACGTAATCAAAACCGTCACCTTCTGGTAGTGTCACCAGCCACTCTGCATCTTTAGTAAAGTCCTCAAATTCCGAGTAAATCACCCTTATCCACCTCACCTAATAAAAAAAAAATCAAAATATAATACTAATAATAATAATTAGTTCAATAATAAAAATAGTTCAGATATAAAATTACCATATCAGGGGCTTGTTGAAGAATGATTCTGGCTCTAGTGATGATGCCAAACTGACCGAGGCCACCAAGCGATGCAAAAAAAAGCTCTGAATTTTGATTTTCGGAGCAAACTAAGCTTTCACCTTTCCCGTTAACGACTTCTAATTCCGTTACGTTTGCCGTTTGTGGTCCGTAACGGAAAGTCTGACCACTAACACCGGCGTTAGATAACGTTCCACCCACCGTTAACCCGAGATAATCCGTCCACGATCTCGGAACAAGTTGAAACTGCGAAACGCACCGTTTCAGCACTTCTTCCCATAATGCCCCTCCCGAAACGTCGACGTATGGAACACCTTCGAGATAGAGGAGTTGAAAATGTTCCTCCGCGGTAGCGCGCATGTCGAGGACTAGTCCTTTTTCTGCCATGGCTTGGCCGTTGATGGAGTGGCCGTTGCCACGTGCGGCGACTGTCAGGTTTGCGGTTGTCGCCGCTGCTTTGACGGCTCTCGCAACGTCGGCGGTGGAGTATGGACGGATTACGGCGAGGGGGTTGGAGGATTTCATGCCGCCGAAGTCTTTGGTGGCGATGGAGTTTGGGGCGAAATGGAAAGAGGTTTGGAGGGATGAAACGTCGTCGTTTGGAGATGATTCTGTGTCGTTTCCATGAACGAAGTGTTCAAATTCAAGGTAAGCTATCATGTTTCTGGTGTGAAGTATTAAACGTCGTCGTTTGGAGTTTGAAGGTTTTGCTATGATAGTTTGAGTTTGAGTTTGAGATGTGCGTGGGTGGTTGGTCTTTAAATAGCGGCTGTTTAGGATTTGTTGTAATAAATGTATTTTATTTTTTTGGTCAAGAAGAAAAGAAGGTAATGGAACTTTGAGATTCTATAATCAAATCAAATATATTAAGCATGACGTATAGTATGTTTTTGGTCAAGAAGAAAAGAAGGTAATGGAACTTTGAGATTCTATAATCAAATCAAATTATTAAGTTAAAATTGATTATTCATTAATTTAATTAAAAAAGAATATTATATAAAAAAACATTCTCAATCCATTAAAGTAGTATATTTATTATTTTGTTTAATACAAAATAAATAGAGATTACAAAGATTAAAATCTATATTAATAAATGAAATAAAGGAGAATCATGTATAAATTTTTTAAAAAAAATTAATTTAATTTAAAAAATTGAATAAGTTGGTATAATTATACTACCTCATTTCAAATGAAATTAATAGGATGGATTGTGTATATTGATATTCAAGAAGAAGAGAATTGGAAAAAAAGTATTTCTCATTTATTACTATTTAATGTGTTACATCCCTTCCATATTTACAAGAAGCTGCTTATATCGCTTATATATGAGTGGGTTTGTTTTAAGTTATTAAATTATATTTCTTTAAATTATATTTCTTTAAATTATATTCTTTAGATTCATATTCTTTAGAATAATATTTTAATTTATATATTTGGATAAAAATAAACTTTTTTAGGAATATTTATAAATTTATTTAATTTAAAAATTATGAAAAATAAAAATATTAATAATTTGTGAGTAGAAGTAAGAAGTTAGCTGTAGTTGGATTTATTCTCATAGGAATGTTGGATTCTCACCCTTTAACCGTGAGAATAAAAAAAAAAAAATTATGTGTAATTAAGATTCTTTGGAATAAAATATGTCTTGGAATAATTTTTTTAAACTTGAATCAAACATGAGAATGTTGCATTCCCATGATCATATTTCTTAGAATATTTTTTACAACCTTGAAACAAACACACCCTATAATGTGTACATAAAACAAAAAGAGCATACATAACTACCTCTAACGACCTGCATAACTAACTTAAACTAATATAAAGTAGTTATGTTGATACATCCCCGTGAGTTGTAATATGTATGTTATATAATTCTAGCTTGGACAGAAGAGAACTAAACAAAGGGGCGTGTAAGCGTTTGTTTCAAACCATACAGAAATTTTGTGAGCTTGTAAACCGTGTTAGAATTTGGAATACCATAACAAGAATGAAGAAATATATACACTTCCTCATTAAGATCCCCATGTAGAAAAGCATTGTTCACATCAAGTTGCTCAAGATGCCAATGTTTGATGGTTGCAATAGACAAAAGAACCCTGACAATAGTAATATTTGTAATAGGTGAGAATGTATCAAAGTAGTTCACTCATTCCAATTGAGTCTAACACTTTGCTTCCAACATGTCTTTGTACCTCTCTATGGTTCCATTGGCATGGTACTTAACTTTATGGACCCATTTGTAACCAATTGGGACTTTGCTAACTAATTGGGACTTTGCAGGGAGATTCACAAGGATCCAAGTTTGATTATCCTTAAGAGCAGTTACCTCGATGTAATACGGTGGGAGAATTGACTTGGGTATTTTGCGTTTTATCGCAATTATTGCGGATAGCAAGAGTCTCCACCGACTTTTCTTTTATCCAATAAAGGAAAGGGTGAAAAGAACAAGAAATACATTTTGAGAATTTTCTTGAGTTCGGGGGGTAGGTTATGAAAAGGAAGGTGTTAGCACCCTTTTCATCCATAATTATCTACGGGCTCTTAGTTGCTAGCTCACTTTGAAATGCTCTGCAAAATGTGTTTGTGATTTGTTTTAAAAGTATTTTTGAAAAGTGCCTTTATTTAGGAGAACTTTGTAATGATTCTCGTCTCTATAAGAATGTATACAAAGTGTTTGCTTTTGAAAATATTTCATGAAAGATGTTTGTTTTTGGAAAGATGTTTTGAAAGTGTGAGTATGGAGATGGTTTTGTTTGTGAGCAAGCAACTACGAGCGTTCTACCTACTAAAAAAGTCTTTGTTCTTTTTCTCCTCCTTTAAATATTTTCATCTCACCATTGATTGGTAAGAAGCTCTATCATTGGATGTGAAGGGACAGGTGTGGGTCGTCGTACAGTCATAGAAGGAAACATTGTAGGATACCTTAGCAATTTGTCGTAAGGGACTATGATCGTTTACCGAAGGCAACATCGAAGGGTCATCAAGGGACTACGATCTTGTATTCAATGGTCATTGCTAAAGCATCCCACGTTCGAGGGACATGATTGTTTATTCTAAGGCAACAAGTGTGGGTCAACCCTAGAGGTGCAAGTGTGCGAAGTGTATTATTTTCATTTAATTTGTTTTGAATTAAGATTGTCTATTGTTTGATTTTATATATTTCCATACAAACCCTAATTACTAGCAATAGTATTGAAAGCGATAATTTGCGGAAATTTAAAGTCCTACACTATTACATCATTTAGGGGATGGGGATACAAATTACAAATGGAAATGAAAGCAATTAAAACCTAATAACTATTACAACTATATTGAATAATAGAATGTAAAATGTACAAGGATATAAAGATAGTGTAAAAGAGAAGAAAATTGTTTTCTTTCTATGATTTTGTTATGAAAAGGTTTTAAAGTTAAGCTAATTAACTAAAGAAAGAAATAAATTAATTAAATTCTAAGTTAATTTAAAAGATAAAATCAAAACCTAACTCTAAATTAATTAATTAATTTTAAGAAAGAAAAATGTATTTTTTAGGATTTTTGTTTAAAAGAAATAAAATAAAAACATGAGAATATTTAGTCTAAAGATTTAGTAAAATATTTTTTTTATATTTTTGTAATAAAATAATAATAAGAATAAAAAAAAAAAAAGAAAAGAAAAGAAAAATATAAAATTTGGGTTAGGGGGTTTGAAAGTGAAAATGGTGTTAGGAAGTAAAAATAGTTTTTGTTTGTTTTAGGCTCAAACCCCTTTTTGTAGCCAGAAAATAAAATAAAATAAAATAAAAAAATATAAGATGGGCTGCATGTTATATAGTGATCAGAGGGTGTTGTTGAGTAAAAATGGTTAGACCCAATAAGAACAGGCCCAGGCGCGCTTATGTGTAAAAGAGAAACAAGGAAATGTTGTAAAAAATGCCAAAAGGTCTCGCTGGGGCTCGAACCCAGGACCTCCTATAACAATGCCTTACGTGCGCGCTTGCTGCCACTGGGGTGGCCTGTACATCTGGTATAGAAACAACAACCAATAGTTTAAAATAAAACATGTCCATGGTTGTACTTCATCTTCAACCTCGTGCCAGATTTTTGAACTTCTGAACTTACTCCTTTCTCAACCATTCTCAAAAGTGTAAACATCAAACTTGTTAGAAATTTCATCACGATTTCAGAAATGTAAATAACTTAAGCTAAAACTCAAAGATGAACACGAATTTCTAATGGTACCAAATTCTGACCTAATTTTTCAGGATGTTCAAGTTCAAAATTCTCACTACTTAGGTAACATAAATGAATTTAAGGACATGGTTAGTTTCAGGGCTATGATATCTACATTTTATCTTTGAAAATGGAAACCAAATGATGCCTATATGAAGAATTCAAAAGTCAGAAAACTCACATTGAAAATGGAATTCGTGTTTTGAGTTTGAGAAACTTTCAAGGTGTTGTAATGATCTGGTTAGCTACAGTGAACCTCCAGGAAGCTAATGCAATGATTAATTTGGATTAAGGATGGTTGAATCATGTTGGAGAAGTCAATGTGCAACACCCTGTTTTTGGTTATGGAGGATAGTGAAGATGGAGTTACAGTTGTGTAGCAGGTGTTGGGATGGGTTATATTTGATGTGAGAAAGCTTTAGGATTGATTTGGATAAGAAACGCACGAGTGGTTTATGAGATGGAAATTCTTGGGCATAAATGACAAGTTATGGTGATTTTAGAGCAATTTATGGTTTAAGGGAGTTTCAATGCTTGTTCTTTCGTGTCCTAGGTTGCATAATAATGTCTCAATTTATAGGAAAAGGTTTTGAGAGCTTGAGGTGATCAGAAGTACAAGTTCATATATTATGACTCTTTGGCTTGTTTTTGAAGCAAGATTCATACACATTACCCCAATGCATAGTACAAGGCTATCTAGATTGGTTACAAGATTTAAAAATGTTTATATGACTTTGTATGTTGAGTGTGTTATGAACAAACAAGTTAGAACTCAAGACAAGTTAACTTTGTGATTAAATCAACTTTTCAAGAATGAAATGGTAACTTTGTGCCATAAATGGAAATACAACTTGGATAATGGCTCAAATGCTTGGATAATGGCTCTATCAGTTATGTAATTAATTAATTATGGAGTGAAACACAAGTTAGAAGCCTGCAAAGTAAGATTATGCAGCATGGCTATGAGATTGGATCAAATGTTCATCAAGAAAATGACCTATAATTCAAGTTTATGAGGCCATCTTCATCTCTTTGAAACTTCTAGCTCAAGCATGATCTCTTCAAGTTCTTGGACATTTTAGAAAGCTTGAAATATCCTTTTACAACCTTCATGTTAACCATTTTGACAAAATCATCTTAGAGATATGTGAAAAATGACCAAAAAGTTGGGATAAAAATCTGCATAAACTAGGTCAAATTTCCACTAAGTGTTTTTTAGAAAAAGTGCATGACTTCATGGACTTATAACTAAAAATCTAAACATTTTTTGGATATGAGCCCTCTAATACAAAGTTGTAGATATCATCAAGATCTATAACTTTCACGTTTAAAGTTTCTTTTGAATCATCTTGAATTTTGATGAAAATTTGGCATGAAGTAGTGAAATTATCATGTATAAAAACACTTAGAAAATATTTCTAAGTCTTGAAAAGTTTGACTTTTCAAAT